CATAACATCATCCGCGCTGACTGAGTCGAGGTGGTTGCGGATCTAATACAAATGCGATTCTCGTTCACTGGCCATTGTGTTAACCCAAGTGAGGCCTTCCGCATTATTTATCAGGTTCCCTCGAACCGGCCTAAATATGCTAGAATGCGTACGTTGGCCATAGCCGAAGCCATCTTTACTAAACTGTTGACCCTTTGAACTATGTGCCCAGGAGGGTCCTATTCAAGAGCTCCATCTCCCCTGGGTTTGGGAACCCACCCCTCCCCCCTGCCCGCACACACAAAAGTTTTCACACAACAACACCGATCCCTCAGAACTGAGTCACACGACCATCGTGACATAACTGCAAACCCCGGAAGCACAGATACACGCATACACAAAGTGAACGGTTCCTCACATTGCATTGATCTCCTCTCAACCCCGCGGTATTTCCCCTCATGTAGACTGTAAGGGGATGATTCTGATTTATTGAGAACAAAGGTTTGCCTGAAATTGCTCTAAATAAAACAATACTTTTCCGAGAAAAACGTGAAAAAAGAGCCAAGGTGACGGTTACAATACGCACAATACGAAAGCCCTTTGGTTGGCCGATTACCCCCTCCGTAAAAATGTATTATTCTTTATTTAATCGAATACAGTAAAAATAATGAAGACCGTATAAAAAAATAGCTCTACAAATCGTTAACCAGGACATGCCTTACGCAAGTATACAAAGCACCTCTCATGAAAAGAAAGAAATGGATGAAAACGGGTGAGAGTAGTAGTCAATATTATCAGTCTGCATGAACGCACATCTCCACCAGTTAGGTATTCATCCATTTTCCCGACAGGTGAAGGCACTCAATAGGTGAAAGAATTTAATCTGTCTTAATAATACTTTGCAAGTGAAATGTTTTATCGCCAGAAAAACAAGCCAAACAATGGACACAAGGAATGCAGTTCATTTCGTTTTCCCTAACTACATTTATATGTCGTACAGTACAAACTCACTTTGGGAGTAGATGAAAGTCTGCAGAATATATCCCGCAATCGAGGCAATATGAGTTTCTTCAGTTGTTCCTCTGTCATATAGTTTGGTAGGACAGAAATCGCGTTCTGAACAGTCTCCTGTTTTGAGGTTTCAACAAAAAAAGGAGACACGCTGATTATACGCTGTTATGGGATGTTCAGCCAGAGAGGTGTTTCCTATAGCAATGATTCTTAGGTGAAGCACGTTTCACAAATTCGTGTTTTTATGTCATGAACAAATAACTACACCGTAATTCGAAATTTCGCTAATAATAGAAGGGTAAGATAATGGTATGCATGCTAAAGCTCAGGGTAATAGCCTATGAGTTTTGGAGGTAGATACGTGGCAAATGTATGCCTCTTTTATAAATCAAGGTAAATAGTTCAATGGTTAATGAAATTCAGCTAACGAAGTTTTTAGAAGTTGCCCTCAAGAGAGGTGGGAGAGTCTAATATCATAAAAATCAGTATATTCCTAAAAGTTGAAATAAAAGTATCTTTGTGGGTAGAGCAGGCATTATTTGCTTTCCACGGAATCGCATTTTTGCACTATGGAGAAAACTAATTTGCTTTTTAAAAGGACTGAATATTAAAGAACCTTATATGAAAATTGCATTTTCTTCAGTATGGACCATGTTGACATATAGCAAAATTGTCCTGGATGTGAATTGATTAGTCTTTTAGGGTGAGATTACTCTTGGGAAATGCTTGATTCCAGACTTTAGAAAACAATCAACATGCTTCCTTGAGCTACCGAAAAAGTTTTAAACTTTTGGACCAATCAATTCAACGGGATAAAACAATACATTCATTTCATCCATATATTCTTCTAAATTGTGAAATACTACGTCCTTTTTGGTGGCATATTCAGCTGTTGGGATCGCACCGAACATATCACTTATCGTTTAGGGTTTCTCTTTTGAGGAAAGCAGAATGTGATATAGATAATCTTTTCAATAGCATTTGAATATGACCAAAATTGTAATTCGGTTGAAGACGCCCATTTTTTATCTGGAATATATTAATAATTACATTATCTTGGTTCCAAATGGATTTCTCCTCTACATATCATATTCTTCTGGTTATCATGTCATAATTAAAACACGATCGATTACAAAAATCCGTTCCTACAAAAACAATATATATACACACAAAGCATTTTGTGAAAGGAATAATTATTTATCACGTTCAACTCTTTCAATTGAAACACAATAATCATCTATAGCATCAAATTCGATTTTAATCAAAATAAGTCGCTTTAGTTTTTTCTACTGTGATAAAAGATGCTTTCAAACAGGTTTATTGGAACTGAAACTTACAATTGTTTTTGTTGTGGTAGGTTCCAGACAAATAAAAAGTTCTGGAATCACATATTTCTCAATGTCGGTTTTGGTAAGTCGGGGAATGAAGAACTCAATGAGGTCCATAAGAACAATGGACGTCTGTGAAAAAAAAATGCGAAATATTTCTTTCCATAAAAAATAATAATGAAAAGTTATACATCATATGCATTTTTCATCCCTTCATTTGAATCTAGGTGCTATAATGTTAGCAAAATATCATTTGTATTTTCCAATTTTATTTTTATTTTCGTGATTATTGGTTCCTAAATTATATAAAATTGCTACTATATGCAATGAAACGGTTCACTTTTTGCTTTTCTGCTCCCCGAATTCATGGAACCTTATTTTGCCATCAAAGTGGTAAAAAATATTTATTCATTTTCTGGAATAATTTGATTATGCACAGCCTAATGACCGTGCAAAATGGCCTGTAGTTACATTCCCCAGCGCCTAAAATAAACCAAAACCGCATGGAGGATCACCTTCCGCAAAACTCTGCTAAATAATATTCACTTCCACTTGGGAACTGAAATTTAGTTGAACGTAAATTCGTTTCCGAATAAACTTACTGTTTTTATGCGATTGCCAGTAGTCATGACCTGAGTGTTCAGTACTGTGCGATCCATTTATAAGAGTCGTATAGTTCATAATCATTCAAAACGCACAACATTTTTGGGTTATTTTAATTCTAACCAGGGTAGGGCAGATATATTTTTTGTTTTGGGCATTCTTGAATAGCCAACGGGTAGTTATGGACTGGTGTTTTATTACAGTTAAGACGTTTTGAGCCGTCATTATGTTTGCCTCTTGAGTTTGACACTTGCATCTCTGTGGTATATGATGAGGGTAATGTCTTTAGGAATTCAATTGTAATCGGCCTAATCGTTTACTGCTGTCCTGAAGCTCTCTTTTTCTAGTGGGTTTGATACATACAGTTTGAGATGGAGTTGAAAAATCGATTCTCAAGATGACTTTCAGATCAGATGTTATCACAGTTGACGTTTGCGTGAGCATAAGGTAATTTTCGCAGAATAACTTCAAAGGAACATTCAAATCTAGATGGTGAATGTTTGGGTCAGCCCGGTTGGTTTTTCACAGGCACCAGGCATCGTTGATGATTTTGGGTATGTGTTTCACTCCTTAGGAGATCGCAAATTTCCCACCGCTTGAATGTTTGTAATAACCAACAAACAGCCATGGACAGCTGTTTCGTCCTGTTCGGGACCCTCTAAATTGATTGAGCCATTCACCCAAGGTCATAACCGTCAACCGTGTAGCTCAATGGTAAGGATTTGAAGTCAAAACCCGAAGAATCGTGGTTCCAGTCCTGAGAGGGACAGAAAACGTACGCACTGCTGATAAGTCCCAAACAGGACAAAATAGCGGTACAGTGCCCTTTGTTGGTAACCACAAACATCAACATCGCATTTAGAACATTCAAATCGTTTCGCTCAATGCATGGAGCAGAATTACGGACCGTGAACGAATGTATTCATGTTATCTGGAGCATTACGTCATAAAACGTTGCTTACTCAGTTTAAACGATACAACGCAATCAAGGGGCTATCCTCGATGGTTGCTTACATTGCTTACTGATTTGTGGTAATAGGGCTTACGTGTGTTTATTGTGTAGGTGCACAACTTTCGACTTCAACAAATATTCACGTGTACTTTCAATCCGTTTCCCGTAATTGACACTAAATGTATCAAAACAGGAGACCAAACCAGTATGCTTATCACCTACCTATATTAAACTAGAACGTGAGAATTCCTTAAAAAGGTTTTCTACACCATTCATTGTTGGTACAAAATGTTTTGAAATGTACAGTTTGAAGATATTTGGTTAGTGCACACTATTCAAGCTTTCTCGGGGGGACGGGGGGACGTAGGTAAGCAGTGCTGGTTAATAATACACTATTCATGAGGTTGTGTTCGAAAAGAAACTTGTTAAACAAACTTCCCCAGTTGATCTGTATTACACGATAGCCCTTTGTTTATCCGCTAGTCATTTTCTGAAAAACTTTTGTACGATGAAATCATGGATGACGAAGTCAAAGCAAAGATAGATAAGAATCTTGAGAAAAGCCCATGTCAAAAATCTTTTTCAATTTGGTGAGAAATCATCAAGCTTAACTTCAAACGTGGACTTACTTCCTGCATAACACTGTAATACTTAACCGGTCCTTGATCGCCAAAATACCCTAATTTCATCATGGAGGCTCATCTATGATGGTTATTTATGGATCTAATTCCCTTCTAAATACCAGCAATGTATTTAAGTCTGTATTCCAAAAGTAATAAAAACATTTCGCACAGTATTAAGTTTCCTATTGCATTGCAATTTAGTGCGAAGTCAAGAAAATATGCATCATAAAATTAAATATGTGCCAAAGCTGAAAATTTTATTTGGGTTCATGAAAATGACATAACTAAAAATAATAAATTGTTATTGTTCATAAAATAATCGAAGTAAGTTTTTCTTTGCATGAATAAAACAACAAATATACAAGTTCGTTGGATGAATTGTGAAATAAATAATTTCTGACCCTGAACCATGAAATTCAAGTTCTTTGTTGTAGGTAGGATCAATCACTACTGGTTCAGTTTATCATTGTGGTGATGGACTACACTTTTCCGAATGTACAGTCAATATTCGAGTATGTATGAGGCTGACACAAATTCAGGCACTTAAGCATTGATTTTCGTGTTTTTTTTCTTGCTCTATCTTCTCAGTCACATTTGAAAAAGGGCATAAAGCGTGATCTCCCAGTTCATGGATTGGCATTCAGCGTGACACGTTAAACCTATCCATTTCAGAACAGCTCGAAATTTCGACAGGAAGCAATAAACGGAATGCTTACTTGTAATGATTTTGATGAGGACAAGATGGAGTTCAAATGCGATCGTAGATGCTGTTCATAATCCGATTTGTCAGCCACATGGACCATGGTCAGCAAAGGTGGAAGCACGAATGGGGTCAACTCGGGCGAGTCGTTGTACCAGCGTAGCAGCATCGGAAGAATCCGCTCGTAACGAATTGTCTACAATGTGTGCGTTCAATAAAATGGTAGGAATGAAAATGATCAAAGTGGCGCTGATGAAAATCGGTTTTTGCGAAACAATCAAAAGCGAGAGATAGAAGACATTCGATATATCATTTTTATTGTTGCATTCATTGTTTGGTGTTTACACGTGTGAGTTGACGGCGAAAAGCAACAAATCAAATTATTTGCATAGCCAATTTTGGCCGGAGAAAATATGTTCAGCTATAAAATCACAGGTTGCTGTAAGTTAAACCTTACCTTTTTGGTGATTTCCTATGTCAAATTCGACAATTCAATTAATTTAAATCACCAGCTCATTAATTTATAACCTCAAACATTTTTCTTCTAAAACTATTTTCTGCTTTACTGGTGGTAAATATGGTCTGGTTAATTCGAAGTTCAATGCGGAAATTAACTTTGTGACCTGTTCGATGATTATTTATTGATGAATAATAATATAATAATATGATTTAATATAATAATATAATGACGAAGGTATCAAAACCCTAACAGTACTACAAAGATGACTGCTTTGTCTTGGTAAAACAAATGAAAAGAGAGCTCATTATAAGTAGTTTATTTTCCCAAAACATTTTCTGTTTTTTTCTACTGTTTTCCAACCATCTGTTCTTATTGGTATCAACTCAAACTGAAATTTTATATTTGCTATCTGCATTACATCTTGTCGAATTTTATTTGGCTGGTATCTGTCAGTGCTCTTTAGGAGATGGAATAATATAGTTTCCGATATGAGTGCAATCAATAATTTCATTAGATTACCAATGTGAAATGTACCACGCATGGAGTAAACGAAGCATGAAGTAAAAACCCGGGATGCATGGTACCCCTGTCCGTCAGGCCTCATCTGCGGTACGAAACCATCAACACATAATCGAACATCAGACTTCACGGGTAGTAAGTGTCACTTACTTCACCACCGGAAAGCACGTCAGACTGTTTACCTCTGTGTCTTGTAACAGGAATTTATGTTTGGAATGTCGCAATCGGGAAAGCTATTGCAGACATTAGCTATGTATAATGCTTACAACAACCTTTCAAATATAAGCTCTGTTCGGATTAAAATGTACTGAGTGAAAAATATTTCAAAGCTAAATTACACTAATTGCAGTGCCAAAAAGTTCATATACTGAAATGAATAGTCCAATGGCATCCAGTTTTGCTGTTGAAAGAAATCCACAATCGGTGCTACAGATTCACTTGCAGATATCGTCACAGGAATGGTTCCGATAGCGTGCGTCAATGACACCGCCCTAAGGTAACTGTTTTAAATAATACTATGTGTTCCTAAATCCTTAACTGCAACATTTGTGACTTCATATCACGATGAATCGAAGCCCCTTTCCTGTGGTAGCACATAACAAACGCGTTTGCCTTTGATTCTGTTATATGCATTACGCCATAGATACTAATTAGGTCCCTCTTTGAATGCCACACGCAGGTTAGGTTAATTTCTGAAACAAATTAGAAGGGTATTTTTGGTGGTGGCCCGATGATAACGCCAACCATTATCACCCCAGAGGACATGTGTTCGAATCCTATCACTATTGCCTGTCTTTCTTCATTATTTGTTATATAGCAGCCCTTGGACTGGCCGCTTGAGCCCTTCCTGAAGACTGTATTTTCGTATACTCAAGAAGAAGTACAAATGATTAAAATTTTTAAAAGAATAGATGGTAATTCACAAAAGCAGTGCGCCAACAAGTAACACATGACTGTTTTCCCCATATGGGGATGTTTTTTCAAAAAATAGTCTTCATAGAAAACAAATCAATCCGCTTTACCGTTTCTTAAAGTTGTTTGCCGAGTTAGCTTACAATTTAACTTTCCAATTTAGTCAGCGATTACATCAAAATCTTGATTTGTTTAAGTGAATCTATGATCATGGATGACAGATCACAAGTTCCAATGATATTAGTGTGTTTACTATTTATGTGAAATGGCGAGCTTTGCAGGACTCCGCTTTATCCCATTTTCGAGGTTTCTCTTTTAGTTCCTAATAATGGCTCCATAGTTCTTCATGTACAAATATCTATCCTGCTGAATGAATTCATGCAAATACCACAGAAACGCACCTGTGTATACTTTTTCAGACTGTCGTAAAAGTTTTCCTTTTTGTAGTCTGACGGTGGAAATCTTTCAATACATCCCTGTAATATGTTGAAATTGACGTATTCATTATTCGCAGTATGACATCTACTTATGTAATGTTATCATTCCAAACAATTGATCACTACCATCAAATCAACGAACTTGGACGTTTTATTTCCACTAATCTGATATTGTCTGCGCAGAGATTATTAAGTTCAGTATATTTACGATATACGATGATTTCGCTGAATACAATTTCTGATTTAATTCGTTTTCGTATTTTGTTTCGCTGGACCGAATACTCTTTCACTGACCTCTCTGACGGGTTTTCTAAGACCCTTGACCTGATGAAACTTTCTTTATAAAAAGATGTAGAATCGATTCGAAAGCAACCATGGTCAACTTCGTTGTTAATCAATACTACACCCGAAATGGCTGTGTGTGCAACTCGATTATGGCTGCACCTTCAGCTCCTTTGCATCCGACTCTATCTCACTCCAAATCCTCGTTTGTCAAACTTGATTAGCTGGTAACCTTTGTTCTCACACGGCATATTGCAATGGAACTGCGTTTTGCTGTATTAGTCTCTCTTGTTGGTTTGTTTGAGAAAATTATCCCCTGAGTAAGAACAAAACCGCGGTTATGTGTGCTCGAAAGTTTACTGCGTTATCTTTTTATGGTGGTCACTATGAATAGCCGTATAATTAGCGTGACTTCTTCCACACCGGTATGCACAAAATTTGACGTTAAGATGTGATTTGCTAAGCGTTGCACATAAATGGTGAATGAATTTCAGTAAGAAACAGTAGGCGCAAATTTACTGTCTTGCTTTTTATCTGTGGCATGACGGAACTGAAGAAATAAACAACTGTGGTGGAATCGGCAATTAGGATCAAACATGTCGCTCTAACCGTTTACATGGATATTCCAATCATTTGAGATTTTCAAAACATTCAGGTGGATTACATTCATTTGTTTATACATTTTCCTCCGGAGAGACGTTCCAGTTTTGAACAACCGGTTGTTTTGCCTAATTTTTATTTCCCATCATTGAATGCTTTCTTAGTTTATAATTTCCATTCATTAATTTGATTTGTTGCAAGCCACACGGACACGAATAAACCGCATTACATTAATTCAAAAGTCTATCCATCTTGTGGAGACTTACTGTTTCAAATTCTGGGACAACTTTTGAGAAGCGATTGAAGAATTCCTTTTTTTGGTTCAAAGAACGATCTTCCAATGTGATCAAACTTTCGTACGAGAGCACTGTCGGCTCGTTGAAAACTTTCAGCTAATTGTGGAAATTGAAATCATCAAAGAAAATAAATTATTGTTTTTTAATATCTCGCGTATGGCTTGCAAGCAGAGGTTTACAATTTTATACTGCCAGCGATATAGAGTCTATCGAAAGATAAATAGTTGTATTATTCAGGTTGCACAAAATTCCTTTGAGATCTATATGGTTGAACAATCAATAAAATTAACATAAATCTGACCACTAGTTAATGCAGTTAACTATGCAGTTGCTAAACCCAGGATACCGATCATGTCCATGCAAAATTCTCCACAACACCATATGGCCAAGTGGCTCGTTAAAATACAGGAGCTGGTGTGGAAATCCATTAGAATTTAATCCTTGAAGGACAGTTTCGAACCTGTAAAGGTTCCTGATGAGATAAACGTAAATGACTGTCATATGTCATCTTTTGATGTCGTTCGTTTGTTCACCAATGTGCCTGTTGTGAAAACTATACAAATCATTTCTGACTACCTTTTGAAGAAAAAATCCAGTTAGGCATTCCGCTTCCTGTCCTGAAGCGCCCACTTACTCTGTGCACAACGGATGTATACTTCAGTTTTGGAAGTTGGCAATTTAGACAACTCGATAACGTGGCTATAGGCAGCCCATTGCGTTCTAGTCTAGCTGACATATTCACTGCTAGTTTGGAGAACAAAGCCAGTAGGACAACAAACAGCATCGTACTCTATTGGAGATAAGTAGATGGCAAGTTGATAATCACCCAAAACGCCGGATGGACCGAGAGTTTGTTAGCTGAATAGAATTCACTTCACAAGGACATTTAAATCACTATGGAAGCTGAGCAGAACAAGACACTCCCATTTCTAGATATTATTATCAGGCAATAACCAGGGTGAACTGTTTTGAGGTTCGTGCATCGAAAATCCACGTGGACCGGCGAGTATATGCACTTTGGGAGTTTCGCTCAAATCCAATACAAACGAGGTCTCGTGAGTGCCCTGTTTGATCGAGTTAGAAAGTTGTTTACTCGGATAATGACCAGAGTGAGCTAATTTGACTTACGGAAACTCTAAAGCTCAATTGATACCCAGTGATGTTAATACAAAGGTACAATGTGCAAGCCGAACACAAGACCTGGCGGATGACAGTACCAAAATCTGACGTTCTCATTCAACTGCCGTTCAAAGTTAACGATGTAGGCCAACTGGTTCGAAGACGACCAGTGGGATCGGTACCCGCACATATTTTCCTGCAACTCCGGTCGTTTGCTTTACAACCCAGATCCCGAAGCCCTTAGTGAAATCACCGCCAGACCACACGTAATCTATGAATTTCAGTTGACGGGCAGAACAGAGAGGCAGCTGTTTACCGGAGTGGCAGAACATATACCAGCATGGGTTGAACGCGAACGGATCAGATTGAGGGCTGTTTAAACAATCATCCCATAAAGCCAGCCGCACAGAACAACTGCATCATCAGTTGCTCGATATCTGCTGCAGACTGGCTACCAAACCGACCTCAGAACTTCTTTTCGGCTTCTTTACACACACACACACCCGCAGAACGGACGGCTGCAGCGATTTGCAAGGGACTATAGCAATCGAGCGCCAAAAGCCCTGCTTTGTCAGCAAGACGACGTCTACATCAGTCTGGTATTGCACTGGTAACTACGTAAAAGGAAGCGTGAATTGATCTCATAATTTGTACGATTACTGAAGGTCTATCGAATAAATTCTGAACGTTATTATGGCATTAAATTATTTGCATGACACAGATATTGATATCTCTTTTTTTCCAGTTTGTGTTCTTTATTCTGAATCACTTGGAGGAATTAACTGGGGATACCTACGGTACCCGTCCGTTGCCTCCAGTATATGCCGCATCCTCAGCTCGGACAACCACTCGCTAGGTACAGTACGTAGTGCTTGATATTGTCAATTACACGTTTTCCTTTGAAAGTGTTTGGTTTTACTAAACACGTTTTTATGCCTAATTCGTTTAGGGTAAAAATTCAAGATAACTATTCAACGAGCAGCACACCTCACGACACGGCAGTCCAAATTCAGCTTTCGCAATGATTATTGTCTTCTTTACCATGGCGATAAAGTTTGTTTAGACAACTTTACGCCCCTATTGAAAATATATATATGATATTCAATTATCATTTTTTAATGTTTTTTAGTTATCTAAACAGTCCCACAGAGCACACTTTCAAATCGAACAAGGAGTGGCGAACAAGCTCGTTTTCAGTGATTACTAGAATTACTAGAACCCGTAAGAATTGGATTGGCGAAACACAGCGTACGAGACACATTCACTTTTGTGAACAGCATTCATGACTTAAACTTGATGGGTCGGACAATGCTTCCATTGGACGTTAGCTCACTCTTCACCAATGTTCCAATCAGCGAAACCATCGAATACCTGTGTAGTTACGTACAAAGTAACAATGTTGAGATAGGCCTTCCTTTGGAAGACTTGGAACGACTACTTTATTTTTGCACATACAACGTCCAATTCAAGTTCAACGAGCAGATTTATCGACAAAAGGATAGTGTGGCCATGGGATCACCTCTAGGACCGTTGTCTGCCGATGTGTTCATGGCGAAACTCGAAAATAACCAACTCAAATCTTCCATTCAGGATTGT